CGGCCCGAGGTTAGGCCGCTCAGTGGGGTGACGGCGGCGGAGGTGGGGCCGCCGTGAGCCCGGCTTGGACCTGGGCGGCCCCGGCCCCGCCGCAGAGGGGGAAGCTCAGAAAGCACCTGGTGGCTTGGAAAAGAATTCTGTAACTTCCAGTGAAATCACCCGCTTTCCAAATTAAGTCTTGGGGTTTTATAAGTCTTTAGCGAAGAACAAGCTAATGTTTTTGAACGCTTTGTCATAATTCTTATACAAACTCATGCCAAAGCTTTCTCTGTAGGTAACCGACAGATGCCTGTCTGGTTGATATTCCCAGAGCAGGACAAAACCCCTGAGTAACAGAGGCCATGCAGCAAATAGAAATGAGCTATATAGAACAGGGTTGCTCCGGCTACCTGCACTGAAAAGAACACCCCTTCCCTCCTAGACATCGTTAATCATCTTTTTCTTTTTCCCCATTACCTCATGAAAGTAGATACTGCACGATTCTTCGTTCTGCATCTACTGTGATTCCTGCATCTGTGGTGTGTTTTGCATTTGGAAGGGCAGAACCATGGCTGCATGTATCCGGAAACATCCCCTGGAGATTCCTCCACCATCTGAAAAGGACTGGCTAAAGGAAGACGAGGAAGATTTCTTCCTGCAGGATCCCGATCGAAAGCGTGATGTGTTGCCTCAGCCCTTCAGGATGATCAACAAACTGGTTATGCTGGTTTTTGAGAATGCTATGGAAATCATTGAAAGAAAGGAAATGCTCCAAGAAGCGCAAAAGCTAAAGGTCCAGCCTGCAAAATGCTTTCCTACAGCTGAATTTCAGGTACAGAGTCCCTCACAGCAGAGAGAGCCTGAATCACCATAGCAGGTTTTCTAGAGAATATCTATTCAATTGATTTTACATTTTTCTGTTCATCACCTTCCTCAGAATCTACCACCTCACTGACTCACTTCAAAAGGCTGCAGATTCTAAGCTTGTCTGACAGGTTCTGCTTCCCACCGGTCTATCACACCTTTCTGAAAAGAGAGCAGCAGATATTAAACATCCCTAAATTTACCTTCTGTCTCTCAGGCTGGCTCCACCCTTGTTTGCTGAGGACAAAGTAATTAGTCAGTAGCATATAAATGGGCAAACTCAGCTCTGTATTATGGTGAGTACCTTAATGGGAATGTTGTGAGCAGAAGGGCAGCGCTGCCTTCCCCATCCTTACATGGAAATATCCTGGGGGATACTCTGGTCCACTGGTGTTCTGCAATTGCCCGGAGGAGCTCAGCATCTCACCACAGCTCTGTGTTAGCAGCGGGAGGGCTGAGTGCTACTGAGTTCTTGGCCTTTAAATCTCCTTCTTTCTGGGTATCGGAAGGGGAAAGGTGTGAGCAAACTTTTTCATCTCCAACACAGAACAATCTCTGTGACAGAGATAACAGCCCCTCCCCTCCTCTTCTGATGAAAACTCATGCAAAAGTTTTTTCCTTCTAGAATAAATCAGCATTTTCTGTTGGTGACAGTCTAGGAGCATATCACAAGTATGGCTGATGTGTTCTCTACTGGGGAAGTGTTGGGGTACACTCATCTTTTCCCTTTCTTGGTAGGTAACTGGAAGAGCCAATTGCCTTGCAGTGTCTGGAAATGATGTCTTTGTCGGTCTGTCCGTGGGTCTGGCTGCCTTCAAGGTGTCTGACTGTAAGGAGGTCTGTGCTTGGGATGCAGTCAAGACAGAGATTTGTGCCATCCGTGCTTCAGATTTAGGGAATGAGTGCCACGTCCTGCTTGCTGTGGATGAAATGGGTTAGTGTGACATGGATTTCCTTGACGTAGCTGGGGATGGCTGTGCTCTGGAGCTGAAGAGTTGGCAGCTGCATTATGGAGGAGTGCTAAATCAGGAGGAATGTTGGAATGGTTGGCAGGTTTCCTAGAAAGCCTTGCAGAGAGAGCATTAGATAACAGGTTGTAGGGTGACAGAATGGTTCTAGGGCCTTGTGATTAGTAGCGGGTGTGGGTTTGGTGTCCTCTCTGGAGCAGACGAGGCAGGTGCAGAGCTGAGAGTGAAGTGCAGTAAATTTTAGGACCACCTTGGACCAGGCAGAAGGAACCATTGCTAGGTATGACCTTCTGCCTGTGCTTTGTTTCAGCACCTGTAATTGCACAGCTCTGTGGTAAATAGGTTCGTTTGTTGATTTATTTGAAGCCTATCAATTCTGGCGGGATTACTTTTCAAACTGGTTTATCCATCTCTATGTACACTTGAGTGTTTGCTGGTGCTGACATAAGGAAGCCAGGGAAGGTTTAGTCCTGGAAGCAGTGGGATATTCTTCCATGAGCCCAGGAAAAATGTAGTCCCGTTCACTCTCCTGTACCTGTTGTAACAGCCATCTCCCAGGAGCATGGCTACTACCTGTTCACTTTTTTTCCTTCTCCTAATATTAATTTTGTATTTCTATTCCAGGCCTGGTCTGGCTCTTCTGCTTTCACAAGGAAAGCTTGCTACTGATTAAAATCCTAAATGAAGTGGTAAGTACTGAGTTAATTTTGTAGACGGTGGGAAAAGGCTGGTAACTAATTGATCATGAGGAGTACTAATTGCCCTCGGGAATTTCTGTCACGGGCAGCAGCACTCCATATTTATTCCTGTTCTTCCAACAATCTGTCTGGCCTTCACCCTCTTGAGAACTGTGTAAGGCCACAGAGCTCTCTGAATCGGTGATCTTGCTTTGATGCCAGCCCGGTTTTCTTTGGCAGGAGGATATCAGCAAGCGAAGTACTTGTGTGGAGCTGGTGCTGTCCCCAGGAGCTGATTATGCAGGAGTCCTGCTGCAAGGCAAGTGTAGGGACAGGCTGTGTTGGGTAACATCTGTTGTGTTCTAGCAGAGGGGCCAGCAACAATGCTTTCAAAATGTTCTGGCTTCACAGGGATCCTGTACCTCATCCTTCCAGTCCCTCCTGCAGTTTAGGGAGATGCTCCCGCCACTCTCTGTCCTCTCCAAAAGACCTGGTGTGGATCAGGACTGATCCCAGAAGTGAGCTGTCCGGGGCTGGTCAGTGCAGTTCCCAGCTCCCGGAAGGCTCTGTGAAAGCAGGTTCTAGCTCTTCTCCAGAAGTATCAAACTTAGTTCTTCCTCTGGTTTGCTATGGCTCACTGTTACACTAGAAATATATACACCTAGAAGAATTTTCTCTGCAGACAGAAGCCAGACAACACAGAGACAGTCTTTGAAAAGACCACCACAAAATACAACATTTTTTTTTGCTACATGGCAGCTGCCTTTGTCAACCTGTTTGCTGCTAACAGGTTTTCTGAACCCCTGTTTGGTGTAACCTGCCTGTATGCATGCTGAGAATGAGATACATAGCATCCACAGAGAACCAGTGTGAGACCATGTCTCACCTTCTACTTTACCTAAGAGGCTACAGGTCAACTTCTTTGGCTGAGTTGCTTCATGGAATTTGTTTGGTGGATGTTGGACCTTGAGGACTTGAGCTGGAGGCTGAGCTGCCAGTCTGAATCAAGCCTTAAGTGGTAAGAGAGGAGGTCGGCATGGAGTTCACAGGGGGTTTATATTTCAAAAACTATCCAAATCTTGTTTTAAGGGTATCAGATAACAGAGACTGCTTGCTTGAAAAACCTTTTCTCCTCATTTTCAATTGCTCAACATGGTTTCCCAATGCAGATAGCACAGAAGCTTGGCTGCAGATCTACTGATTGCCTAAGGATTCCTGGCTGAAGGAGATGGAAAAGAACCCAGGAGCTGCAGCAGGGCTGGCTTGCAGGGAGAGGAGATCAAGCTGGACATCTGTGGTACAAAATAGTTCCATTTCCCACTGTTCTATTTTTTCTTATACCCTTTTGCCTACAGGTTTTTCCCCAAGCCTTGCTCCTGCAGACAGTGACAGCAAGATACAGGCTGAACAAGTCTGTCAGCCCAGGGGGATGAAGTATATGTCTCTACAGTTGCTACAACTGCCCATCCCACATTTCACAAGGCCTTTTTGTTATTGGGACATGTTTATTCTTCCAAGACAGGCTTTCCAATGAGGTTCCCTTGGTCCCAGGGCTAGCATTCCTGCTGTCCCTCCCTGAAATTGGCAGCTCTTTTCCCAGAAGCATTGCCCCATCTGAGGAGGCCCTATGCAAGGCTATTCCCACAGGGCTTCCCCCTTCTGTTACTGGGGGAAGGTGAAGGAGTGGCACTCGGGCCTGATAACCACCACTTGGGAGTCTGGTCCTGAACCAGGGTTCATATTTTAGGCTATCTACAGCAGGAGCCTGGTGGGGTCATGGCTGAACCTGCCCAAGCAGGTCAGAGTCTCTGCCTGTTGGCACTCACCACTGTCACCTCTGGTTCTTTAGCAGAAAAGCATGGAACTGCGTAAAGATTGTTCTTCAGAAATGGTAACTGGCCTCAATGAATGTCCTGAGGTGTTATGGGGCATTTTAAATTCTGAGTCAGTGCTTAACCCTCTCCTGCATCGCTTTCACCCTGCTAGATTTCACCTCTCAACACAGGCACTGCCTGCCCAGCACCACCAGCTAACTCCCTGTGGTACCTGACTCAGAACTTTTCCCTCTTTCTTCAGCACAGACTTTCCTGGCAAATTAAGAGAGAGCTGCTTCAGCCCTGTCTTCCGGGCAAACATCCCCTTTAATATAGCCAAGCCAAAAGCAAACACCCAGCCATTCCCTTTTTGCTGGTTCCATGTAAACTACCCAAGTTCCTGTCTCTTCCTTCTCAGACATGGTTGAATATTTAGTCAGACCTTTTCTGAGTAGCCTAGTGTCAATGTGTGTGAGGTGGGGTGGCGGTGGGGACACACCAGTGTTGGTCCCCTGTTAGGATTTTCTATTCCTAGCCAAGCAGTCCCGGGTTCCCTGAAGTAGAATCCAGTTCTTGTATTCAGCAGCACTCTGCAACCTTTAGTCCTGCTTCTTTGTTTTGTTTTTGTTTCTTTTTTTCTGAGCCTTGCTGTGCCCCATCCAGACCTGTGCTGCAATAAGAGTAATTCAGAGATTAGTAAGATGAGAAGTGGAGGTTACTTAGGGTACAAAACCAGGAGGTGTTTGGGCATGACGTCCTTTGTAATGTTGAGAAAGTAGTGACCTCCCTGAAGCTTTTGTGTTTTGACTTGATAAATGAACCTAAACCCAGTATCTCCTAGGCAGCATCAGCCAAGCTTTGCATACACTTTTAGGAAGCATTTAATTCCCATGAACAGGTGAAAACTTGCATTGCAGGGCACAACATAGCTCTGAGGTTGACATTCTTCTGTTGCAGGAATCTCCTGTGTCTTCAAACAAAGATGATGCAAAGCTGAGTCTCCCAGTGCTGCTGCTGAAAGTGAAGCCACCAAAACCCATTACAGGTCAGGACTGATTCTGTACTTGCAACCTGCAGCCTCCTTCAGATGGTAAAGGAATCATGGCCCTTATGGCTACAGAACAGGTCAGAAAGTTTCAGTATCTTGCTCCCTGGTCCCTTTCTGACCTGTCTTTGTAATCCTGTAGTGGGAGTTGCTTCTTAAGTGACCATCTCACATGTCACCTTTGTTAGCACAAACTACTTCAGTGTGTCTCGAAGTGGGTGTCATACACCCCCAGCTTCATTGTCACTGGAGAGGTAGGAGGTTGTTTCCTAGACCCTAGCAACCTGAGAGCTTCCCTAGTTCTTCATTCTGAGTCCTGGATTCATAGGAAAATTCTGAGGATGAGGAGGGGGCAGAGCTTATGCTGGGACACTGTCAGGGAGAATGTCACAGAAAGGCAAGGTGAGCTGGGTCCTCAGATGACTCTGCCTTAGTCCCTGCCTTCAAATACTGGAAAATGGGCTAATAATATGCAAAGTCCCACAGAAGAGGCAGTGTGTCCCTCTTCAAGACAATGCCAGTGGTCAAAGGACCTCCAGCACTCCGTGGTGTCTGCTCCTGCAGGACTGCGTTTTCCCTTTGTGTTCCCAAGGCAGGCAGTAGTTTTAAAAGCCCTTTGGATGCCTTGAAGAAAGTGGATGATGGCAGCATGCTTGGCCTGGGGTACAATCACCTAATCAAGGACTTCCAGTGGGAGCAGCAGGAAGCAATATTCCGCAGCACTTATCGGGAGTATCTGGAGGCTGAGGGTGAGAGAGAGAGTAAGGAAGACATCCCCAGTTGAGTGGAAGCACCAAGCAGGGCACTTTTCAAGTGTAAATGGAAGCCTCTGTCTGACCTTTGCCTCCTTCATCTCAAGGCTTCAGGGCAGGGGGCTAGAGCCATTCCAGGTCTTGTTGCAGTGCTGCCTATCAAAGCCTTTCTTTTACATATATTTATTCCTTTTTTTTCAGACATGCTACTTTTCATTTTCTCCTGCCTAGCCGGATCCTACAGGTGGGACCTGAAATCAAAGTACATCCAGGTATCCAAATGGGCAAAAAGCTGTTAACTAATGAAGCATGTTGTTGCATGACATTGAACTCCACTTAAAGCTCAATGGCTCTGGCTTGGCTTCACTATATACATTTCATCACCAAGTACATAAGCCTGGATAAAAACGTCAGCCCTAAGACTTTTAAGTCACTTACCGGGCATGGAGTCAAATAAACTTAGCTCCATAGTTAACCACTCCCACCCCCCAAACCACCCAAAACGATGAGGGCGTACATAGTCAAGGTAAAAATAACAAACAAAGGGAGAGTTTGTTCTGGTTTAGTTTCTATATGACCAGAGTTTTTATAAATCCTGTCAGGGGAACCATGAGAGCTCTAATGAGAGATTTCTAATGGTATTTTGGTGTCCTGGATTGTCCCTTTCTTTGTTCCCAGTCTCCACCCTTTTGTTGTCCCCTTCTCTGTACCAAATGTTCCAGCTGGCATCAGCGTGTACTGGGATGGAAGCCACAGTCTCTGCTTGTACTTACTTAACCATCCACTCGAGGAGAAAGTGGGTAAGAAAGTCTTGCTTTCTCTAGCAGAGAGAGCACTTTGTGGGGAGTGGGAGTAATCAGTGGCCAGACATTTAGCTAGATCATGATACAGGGAAAAGAGGAATGGGGAGGAGAGATGGTTCGTATCTTGTGGGTCAGGCTGGCATTTGGATTGTGGGGCTCCATGTTGCACAGGCTGGCAGTATTTTAGTGAAGCCACTCTGGCAGGAGGCTGCAAAATGGTGCATGTTTTACTGGGAAGCTGGATGCTAGCTTTGTGAGAAGGAATTCTCTGCACCTTCATACAGTTGTCTCTCTTCATATCCTTCTGTTTAGACTCTGATCTGAAGCCTGATGTGTGGCCATGTGCAGCTCCAATTGCATGCTCGGCCATCAGTTCCTGCTCCAGGTACCTCGCTCTGGCATGTGAAGATGCAACAATAACTATTTGGGATAAACACCTAGGTGAGCTTGCCCTTTGGGACGGTGTATTGGGATCACTGTGGATAAATTGCTCCCTTCCTAGGAGTCTGAAGCTCTGGCTTGGTATGAACAAGGGACTGGCAGGGAGTTTACAAGCAAATCTGAAAACAGATGGGACTGACTTGTTCATTGGATGCTTGGCCAGAAGTTGCCAGTGCAGGGTGACTGCCCCAGCCCTTGCAGAGCCACTCCCATCCAGGGCAATGCAGGAGCTGTGAGCTGCGGCGGTGAGGACTGATGACCATCTTCCCCTCAGGCTGTGAGACAGTGACAGTCACTGCTTTGCCTCTGTTGTGGCATCGCAGTCCAGGCTGCCATCAGTGCTAGTGTCATCCTGCCGTGGTGCAGGGATTCTCCTGGCAAGAAGAATCTCTTCTGCCATCAGGACTGTTCTCGTGGTTGCTGCCTCTGAGCAGGCCACAGTCCAAGCTAAGATTTCCTTGGATAAAGTTCCTTTTTCTTCCTGAACTGCTATCGTCTCTCTTTTTTTTTTTTTCCTTTGCCCCGTTTCCCCAGGATACCCACTGTCTGTGACTGCCATTCTAGAGGAACGTCTCATCCGTAGCGTCCACTGCCTGCGCAGTTCTGCAGCTGCCAGTGATGAGACACTTAGTCCTGGTGCAGATCCTGCCTGTCCCATCGTGCAGCTTCTAGTGCTGTGCACAGACAGCTCTTTCTATTTGGTGAAAGCACCCAGGGCTGGGAAGTCCAGCATCACCCTCCTGGCAGACAGGTGAGGTAGACTCTGAGAAACCTCACTCCAGCCCAAGAAAACCGTGTGGTATAGTGGTGAGGTCCAGCAGGGAGCCCCAGATATCTGTGGAGTAGAGAACTTTCTACTGCTTTTACCCAGATAGCTCTGCTATGCTGCTGTCAGCAGCAAGTGTGGTTTTGCTAGGAGTCAGTTCCAGGACTAAAATCCAGTGGTTATGCCAGAATTAGGGATGTTTCTGGCTTCTTCTGTGCACCAGAACACAAGTGCTTGTAGCACTGCTCCAGGGCTGATGCTCAACTAGATGGGTCTCTGCCAGGTACCCATGGGAATTTTTTCTTCTGTCTTCTGCCCTTGCCTGAATAACTTCCCCCTAGAAATCAGAATAAGGATTTCTTGCCATCTTTCTGTCAACTTTATGTTCACTTATTCCCTTGGTTTGAGGAGAAGGGTCAACTTTGGGGAAGTTGCTGCTCTGAAGGTTATGGTTTCATGGCAGGCAGGGGATTTGTATCTCTAACGTAGTTCCTAGGCAGGTTTGCACAGGGATGGGCCTTGGGATTCCTGCCCAGGAGAAGGCAAGCTTTTTCTCCATAGGGAAGGGGCTTGGCTGGAACTTTATGCCAGCCCATGTGGCACAAACTGCCATTGTGATTTTCACAGTCTCTCAGTATGTGCCAGGTAAATGAAACACTGGCATAAGCCCGAGTCTGTTTTACAGGCCTGAAGATCCAAATCTTGCTGTCAGCATGGTGGTGCCTATCCTGGCATCCCCCAGTGCAGTGAGTATTACTGCCATCTCTCTTAAGAACTGGGTGAGAACACAAGTCCATCTGGCCTAAGACCCTGTTTCCAGTAACCAGGTACCTAGAAGATAAAGAACATGGCAATCAGATATGGTACTGCCCTCACAGCCTTTGCTAGCCTCCAACTATTTTTAGCATGGGGACTTCCTGCACCAGTTCCAGGTCTATATGTAGCTGGTCACTCTCAAAAGATTTATCTTCCATGATCTTACTCAGTATCCCCTTGCACCTATGTCCTCTAATTGACCACTGAAGTGGGAGGAGCTGGAGGCTCTCTGCACATGGACGGGCCCAACTGCAAAGATGAGAAGGTTCAGCCATGAAGTTTCAGGCATCAGGGTCAAACATGAGAGGGCATCATGATGAGGAGAAGTTACAAGCACAAGTCCAGCCAGACCTTTCAAGTGGCCTCAGAAAATTTTCAGGCACGGGGAGAAAAGGACTAAAAGCTGCTCCCCGGAGCCAGCCGTGCAGAAGGCTGGATCTAGTTCATTTCTAACCTGCCCTGCTGCCCTTTTCCAATCCTACCCTGCAACAATTCCAGTCCAAGTTCCCTGCGCAGCCTGTTATTGGATTGCTGTGGCCCTGCCACTACTGGGAAGGCAAAGAAAACAGCATCATAGTTGGGGATGTGAAGTCCTGAATGTCCACGTCCTTTCCAGGAAATGCTTTTCACTTCTTTTACATCTATTTCTAAGTGTCCACTTGCTGTTTCAGGCCCTGGTCTTCTCCTGGGATGGCACAGTGTCCCTGATGAACACTGCCACATCGCACATTGTTTACTGCTTCAGTATTCCACCTTCTCATGCTGTAGCATGCCCCTGGCAGCCAGTATTCACAGTGGATAGTGTGAACTGGTGCTTGCTGCTTCGAGGTGAGTAGCACACTGAACTGGTTTTAGATACATGGTCACTGGGTGCATTCGGCTGTGCACTGATCCATGATAGTTCTTACTGGATGACTCCTGATGCAGTAGCTCACTGTTCTTGTTTCTGTCTAGGAGATAAGCAGCAGCAGGCAGATATGTTGGCAGAAAGCAGAGCCAGTCACAGCACCATCTTCCTTTTTGACTTCAGCTCCTACCCACTCGAGGAGGCTTTCCCAAAGGAACCAGATTTGCCTCTCAAATCCTTGCAGAACCTGCGGTGGATTGAGAGATGTAATATTTTCTTACGTGATAGGTAAAGTTCTCCTTCTGCCTGATAGGTAAGTGCACTTGCATTATTGTAAACTGTGGTGTTGCTCAGGTCCATGCGAGGTCTCACCCTGGAACTTCTGGGTTCTTCTGTGTGCTGTGACAGATTTATGTCTGTGTAAGTTTGATGATCAGGTAGCTGTATTCCAGCCATGCAGAACCCTTCCTCCTCTCCCTCTGTCCTTCTTAGAACAACTTAACAGCTGTAAGTCAGGATGCCTGGTGCAGGCTTGTCATTCCAGGTAGAGAGGGCTTGCTCGTTCTAATGTGCTTCTGTGCAAGCTTGTCAGGAAATAGGATCCTCACTTAAATGTCTGCGTCTTCCTTTTGACCCCATAGCCAGGCAGAGCTGGGATCTCTTTGCACCTTGCTCCTCCCCTCCATTCCTAGGTTCGTTTGATGTTTATGTGGATATGTCTTGGAGATTTCCTGGTTTGAGAAGGTCCCAGGCACCCTCAGGCCGAGGTTGCAGTTTAGCTGATGCATTGAGATCATGCCGTCACTAGATGGCAATGTGACATCTCTTATTGGGTGTCCTTTTCCTTGAATTACTCTCTGGGAAGCTGGAGCCAGATGCGTGTCAATGATATTCTGTTTGTTCTTTTCACTGTGCCTTAATTCTCCAATTTGAAATGGAACAGTTGGGTGCAGGTGTGACCTCACAGCACATATCACCTGGTAGCCCTCCCTAATTCCTTGTCTCCAGGGTGAATCCTGTGGTGTTGTCTGGCTAGTTAAGTGCAGAAAAGTTCTGTCCCACCAGTTCTGTTCCTCCTTCTCATAAAGCTGGAGAGGAGACTCTTATCCACCTTATACCAGAAAAACTGGGGACACATCACCTCTAGGGATATCTTCCTCCCTGGAAGGTGAAGCCAGAGCAGAGCAAATACAACTGCAGTGAGACCTGTGTCTACAGAGGCTAACAGGCAAAGAGAAATATGGAGGTCATTGCTGTCAAGAGCAGTAAATTTGAGTGCTGAGTGGCATGAGGGAATCACTGAGGTCTTTTGGACACAAGAAGTCTGAACTGTTTAATTTGTAGTGAGCCCCAGGGACCCCTGGGGGAACTAGGCTCAGCACTGGGGGAATGACAGGAACTGCTTTAACCACCCTTTTCTTCCCTCGTTAGGCAGCAGAGCCTGCTGGGACTCAGGGACCAGTTGCCTGAGTACTGGAGTCGGCTGCGGGCACAAGCAGCTGCCATGGACGAGGAGACACAGAAAGTGGAGGGGCAGAAGAAGCCATAGTCAGCCTTGCATCCTGAGGGCCAGGCTCTGCACTATCACAGTCCTGCAGACCCATGATCCGCACTGATAATTTTGACAGCAACTCTATTCAAATCTGTCCTGCTGCTTTCCAGCCTGGGGCAATTTGTCATCCAAAATAGCTGCTTGCCTGCCACTGCTCAGCCACAAGGATCTGTGCCCTGCCTCTCTCCTTATCTAACCCTCAGCCTGTTCCAGCAGGGCTCAGCACCTCCTCATCAGAGACCAACATTACTGATGGAAGAGTCATGAGGTAGGAAAGACCTCTCTTCAAGGTGGCAGGCCCAACACCCCTGTGGCTCAGAAGTATTTGTGCTGGATCTCTGAGTCTTCCCTGAGACCTGGAGCATGAGAGCAGTATGGTATGATACAATGTCCCTCCTTAATAAAGCCTTTTCTCCAGTAAAACTTTCTTGCTTTTCATAGGACTGGCATTTTATCAGACTCTGATGTTCTGTCCTTCTGTTGCTGGGGCTCACCAATGTGTCTCATCTTTTGCTCTGACCCAGATGGGCAGGCAGCACCATCCTTGTGCTGAGCAAGAGTCCTGGTCTTTTCAAACCAGGCAGCAAATCAGCCATGGAGTTGGCATCCCCCAGGGCATGGCAGTGCCAAGCAGCAGTGATGCTACAGAGTGTGTCAGGCCTGACCTAGGCTGTTCCTCAGTCTAGTTGTTTATTTTGACTTCAAAGGAGGCAGGTTTGGGATAAGACTGCTTAGAAATTGCTGCCTGGGAATGTGCAGACAAGTTCTCTGGGTTAAGGTCAGGCTAGAACTGGTGTTAGAACCAAGAATTAATGTCACTGAGGAGCAGGACAGAAGCTGGAGGGTTCAGAGAAGTCAGGGCTGTGCTGAGCCAAAGACAGGCTGGGAACATGGCCAGCATATTGGTCAAAGGCCATAAAAACCTGGAGCATCTGTTCTACAGGCAACACAGGACAAGGAACTCTCAGGGACAATGCAAGGCCAAGCATCCATGTGTTTGTTTCTTACTCTAGAAGTGTATTAAGTTAGTAGCTTGCCTTGTATACTCGACAGATGGGGCAAAAAAGTATGCAGGCTCCCAAGTCTTTCACTTGTCAGTATTTTCAGATCTGTAGTCCTGTGGGAGACTGGCAGCATCTGGTTGCGGGCTGACAGCCTACCTGCACTTTTCACTGGCATCTTTGTTACGCTTCAGGCAGTCAAGGGTCCTCTGGAACCTGCTTTGGGGGAGGTGACCCAAAATACCCATTCTCAAGCACAGCAAACATATTCCTTCTAAAGCGTAAACCCCACGAGAAAGTCTCAGTCTTTTTACAGCTGATCGTGCTTCCAGGATGACTGCCTAGCCCACAAAGAATCTGACAAATCTGTCAGCAACCACTCCAATCTGTGTGCATGGGTGAGCTGTATTTTTTCCAGGTCTCCCTCTAGTGACTCCCACAGAGGTTCAGCAAAGCATCAATGCAAGGTGTCAGGGATTCAGCACAAACTGAGCTATGTAGACACTCCTACGCCAAGATCCCATTTCAGTTTTTCAGAGTAAGTTGTCTTGTTTTGGACTGAGTTTTGATGAGAGGTCTCAGTTTATCCTCTGGAAAGAAAGTCACCCAGTCTATTGTGGAGGTAGGAGCATTCCACTTGTTTCAGTCTCAGACGCCTGGTTTTGCTCTGGAGAAAGACAAGTTATTTGAATTAAACCTTCCTATTTGCTTACCTTTGTGCAGGGCTTTGAGGGCCACAGTAAAGCCTTTTGTGCTTTTATTTTCCATCTACCACAGATTACAGGTTCACAGCTCATCTGATGGTTATGGGTGTTGATACTGGGTTGTGTGAGCACTTGCCATCTGCTCCAGTGCAAAGTCAAGCAGGTTAGCTCAAACCTCCTTCAATGCCTGTTTAAACCGAGCCACCTGGTTCAGCACTGAAGTGAACAAGGAACAATCCTTGATCCTTTCTTCTGTTCTTGCTGTGGTGACAGTAACAATTATTTTATTTCTATGGTACTTTTAAGAAACGATGGACCTTCTGCCATAACCGGGCACAGGGGATTACTCAGGGCAGGAATTCCTATCCCTACATTGCTTCCCATGCTGCAGAGAGCCAGCATAACTAATACATGGCCCCCTGGAACAGCACTGGGTCTAGTTCTTGCTGTTTGTGCAGATGTAAAGGGATTTGGAATCTGTGCCCTTAATCCTACCCCATCTGCTTTCCATCCAGGAGGAGCAGAGCTTGCCTAGCATCAGAAGAGGCAGGACAGGATCTGCTAAACACTTAGATGTACTGTGTATCCACCAGTTTGTATGTATTCATCTCAAGATGTGCTTGTTTGTTTGCAGTTTGAATTTGCTCTAAAACTCTAATCATGCTTGGCCAAGATAACCAGGAGCTGGCAGGCTCTACAGAGAAAGGAAAACAACAAGCAGCTGCAGGAGGCTGATGAAGAGCCTTTGTTTTTACTCATGACTTCAGCAGGGGACTATTTGTTTCCTGCTTCTTCGAAGGGATACAGAAAAATTGGTATGATCAGTGTGTTGACATGTGCGTTGGTGATGGAGCTGTGTGCTGAGTTCCACGACACGGTCTGGAGAGGACCAGAGGCACCTGGTTGCTTATTCCAGAGGTGATGCCCTTGAAAGCTATTCTTCTGTTCCCAGTCACTCTGTGAGCCCTAGGCAGCTGTAGATCTGAACAATCTGAGCTATTCTGCTGCTGGAAACTATAGAAAGGCCTTGAAAGGTATCATAAATATCACCATCAAAGGATGAAACTAAGACTTCTAGCTGGGCCAACTCCTAGCTCACTGCCAAGTTCAGTGAACTCAGAGGTGCTACCTGGGTATAATAGGAGCAATTTGGCTCTGTATTTTAAAAAAGTAAAATCAAATTTAAAAATCGGTTGGTGGACTGAGAAGCTTGCGAGAGGGAGGAAGAGAAGCTCAGATCCACAGAGAGGCGCTCGAGAAGCGTCGTTCCAGCGGCACCCGGTTAGTGCCCGCCATGCGGGGATGGTTCCTGTGGGAGAGGGGCCGGTGCTTGAATCTCACTAAATCATCTGCTGCTCTCTGCAAGAAGCCAAATGTCATCTTACTTCTTTGCATTACGTGCTTGTGCTGTGGAAGCAGAGGAAATCGGAGGCTGATCTGATAAGATTTCCCCACTCCTGAGGGCCAGCAAAGGTTTGGGCTGTTTGGGTAAGCCACGGCTGTGCTCTTGGCAGGAGCGTGGTCCTCGGGAGAGCTGGAGCATCGTGTGCGCCAGGAGCTGTGCTCCTTGCGCCCGTGTTGCCAGCTTTAATGCAACAACTCACAACAATATCCCGTAGTGCCTCACCGCATACAACCTGAAGCCATCTTAAGGAGGAATCTACAAAGACCTCTGTGTCCTGTGTGGAGCAAATAATGCTCCTGGAAGACACTGTGGGACATGCAGTAGCGCCCAGGGCAGGGCAGTCCCACCAAGAGCTTGCTCTATTTGCTCTGGAAGTAGGGCAGCACACGGCCAAGCTTCTTCCCCAGCTCTACAAATTTGTGTCTAGATACAGGTGAACCAAGTACCGCATCCCATTTCTAATTGCTCGAAAAGCTCTTGTTGTCCAAACTAGTGTCGCCTCATTACCTCTAATGCCAGTTCCCTGTACCAGGGTACAGTTTATTGTCTTCCTTTGAGTACAGGCTATAGCTGTTGAGTTGTGCTGTTCAGCCAAGCTATGCAGATTAAATCTTTTAATCTTCCCCAATGCATTGTGCCAAACATCTCAGTCTGGTTTCATTTGGGCTTTCTGCAAACACCTTCCAGTTTGACCCTGTTTCTGTCCCAGTTTGTTGTTGTCCAGTGTTTCTGGTACTGCTCTGTCGAGGATCTGGTGCATTATTCACCTGTGGTCTCGCAGGGGGCACGGGGAGTCAGATTCTGCTGGCCCTCATACCTGATTTTGCAAGAGCGAGACCATTGCCTGGGATGAGAAATGAGCCTTGTTTCTGCGGCCAAAATACAGGAGGAAGTTGGCTGCATCTAGCTGAGGGTGCTAGAGAGATAAGAAATTTGCATGATGACTAGGGTGATGCTGTGTTCTGGCCATGGCCTCGTGGATTTACAGGCACTTTACAGAGCTGAAGACAGACAACGCTTGTGCCATGGAGAACTTGCACCCTCCCTAAGTCAAGTGCTGGGGCCGGGCTGTAGCACAGCAGACTGGTCGTGCAGTAGGGGAGGATTTGTCATGTCAAGAGCCAGGTCTTCACGTGGCACACCTCTGTGCAGGGCCATGTGTTGGCTCAGCCCCAGGAAACCCCACGCTATAAGAGGAGGGGAAGGGGAATGACTCATGTCACTGCAGGGCTGCCGATTAGGCAGGAGGGAAATGTACAGTATCTGAATGGCAAATTGGCCTGGGCTGCCGAGTGTGAAACACTTCCACTGCCTCGAGCTCTTCAGACTGAACAGCTCGGTTTTCTCAGAAACTTTTTGTCAGCCTGCTGGAGCAAACCACAGCTCTTCTGCCTGTGAAGGGCTGGATCTTTGTTGGGGGGGAGAGGGAATAAGTTTGTGTTGTGAGGGGGTGTGCACAGGAGATGGAGATCTGTAGGGGGAAAAAAAAAAAAGTCCTGCACTGAGTAGTGAGGAAGAAACACTAATTAGGCAAGGAAGAGGAACCTGCCAGGTTGCAATCCTGACCTAACAACCAATTATAGGGTACTACAGCACGGTAAGGCAGGGTAAACACTGAGTAGAGGATGTTTCTGAATTAATTCCTTTCCGAAACACAGTGATCATTTAAAAACATCCGGTATCCTAATTTTAAACTGCCCGTCATAGATGTCAGCACAGCCTGTGGGAAATCGTCCCAGTTTTTAAACTACCTGTGCTATTTGGATTTGCACTGTGTTTCTAATCTGAAGTCACATTCCAGTTTCCAGCCACTGGACCTTGCTGGGTGATGGAAGAACACACCAGCAAAAGGTGTGGTCTGTGGGGAGGGACTTGCAAGCCATGTATATATGCGAAGCAGACAAAGCTCTCAGTGTCCATGGTGGAGCAAAGTAGTGGGTTCAGGTTAGGTATGAGGGGAAATTTGTGCTGGGCATGGAAGCAGCACTAGTGTAGTTTTTGTGGGAGTCATGCAGCGCCCATCAATGGAATCCTTCCCAAACATCTGCCAGGGATGATGCGGTATAGACCTTGCCCTGGCCAGGAAGATTCTCTTGTATAGAGGGAACTCTTGTGTTCTTTCTAGCCCAAATTCCCCATGATTCTCCCTTTCTAGAAGTGAAATAGTTTGGTTTCCTGAAGCTTTTCCCATACATTCTGCATTGGGTCCTTGCTCTCCATGAAGGCTGTAACATACTCCTAGTGTGACGGAGGAAAATAAGAAAAGCATTTCACCCAATTCCTGGGACAGTGCAGAG